GTGCCCCCAAGTTCTCTTACATGAGTTTTACTTCTACACCCTTGAGTCGTCAATGGGTGTGATCTTGATGATTCATGAGATATACAAAAGGTATATTTTCAATTATATCTGTGCAAAGTACTTAGCTTCTTTTTAGTAATGATAATCTCTTTAAGAATCACAACCTCCTCAGACCCAATTTTATGTGTGCTTCTTCTATGGCTAAACTCTGAGCTTTGGGGGGCTCCTCAAAGCTCTTGAGCTTTCCCAATCTTTCCTGCCTGCCCTTTGCTTCCAATTCTCACAACAAGACTGGCTAAAAACTTGTAGCAACACCCGTGCCACCATCTGAATGCTGTGTTCCCTTAAAATTTTCTCCACCAGATTAATTAATCCATCACCTTCAAATTTACATGAAATCTCAGCACATGGGAAAAAGTAGACATGGTCTGTGATAGATGGGAAACATACACACACATGTATGTGGATATATACATACATGCATACATGGTAAAGGGAGATTTCCCTTTGCCACATATTGAGAATACAAGACACAAACTCTCATTGAAGTTTAAGAAATTTGACAAACAACCATAAACACAAGACAAAATGTGATGGAAATCATATAAGAAACAAAGTTTTTAAAATTAATTTTTAAATGTGTAGATGACAGTGGAATTCATTTCAATTATATTACACATATAGAGCATAAATTTTTCATATCTCTATTACAAAGTATATTGTGTCTTCATACATGTATTTTGGATAATGATGTCCATCACATTCCACCATCATTTCTAACCCCATGCCCTCTCCCTTCCCCTCCTACCCATATCTAGAGTTCATCTATTTCTCCCATGTTCCTCCTCCCTACCCCATTATGAATCAGCCTCCTTATATCAGAGAAAACATTCAGCATTTGGTTTTTGGGGATTGGCTAACTTCACTTAGTATTATCTTCTTTAACTTCATTCATCTACTTCCAAATGCCATGATTTTATTCTCTTATTGCTGAGTAATATTTCATTGAAATCAAGAATCAATAAATGTGATGGGTTCAAACTAAAAAGTTTCTTCTCAGCAAAAGAAACAATCTGTGAGGTCAATAGAGAGCCTACATCTTGGGAGCAAATTTTTACCCCTCACACATCAGATAGAGCAATAATCTCTAGGGTATATAAAGGATTCAAAAAGCTAAACACCAAAAAGCCCCAATAACCCAATCAATAAATGGGCCAAGGACCTGAACAGACCTTTCTCAGAAGATTATATACAATCAATCAACAAATACATGGAAAAATGTTCATCATTGTTAGCAATTAGAGAAATACAAATCAAAACTAAGATACCATCTCACTCCAGTCAGAATGGCAGCTATTATGAATACAAACAACAGTAAGTGTTGGTGAGGATGTGGGGAAAAAGGTACACCCATACACTGCTGATGGGACTGCAAATTGGTGCATTCCATATGGAAAAGCAATATGGCGATTCCTTGGAAATTTGGGAATGGAACCACCATTTGACCCAGCTATCCTTCTCCTCAGTCTATATTCAAAGGACTTAAAAATAGCATACTATAGGGACTCAGCCACATCAATATTTATAGCAGCACAATTCACACTAGATAAACTGTGGAACCAACCTAGATGCCCTTCAGTAGATGAAGGAATAAAGAAACAAAGTTTTGATCATAAAGAGAAGTAGAAGTAAACTTCACATGATCATAAAGTCATGTGAAGATGAAGGCAGACATCAGTGATGCAACAGAAAGCAAGAAATGCCAAAGATGGTCAGCAAGCCACCAGGAGCTAGGAGAGGGGCATGGAGATTTTCCCTCACAGCCCTCATACCTGTGATTCCAGACTTTCCCAACACCTTGATTTCAGGCTTCTAATCTACAGAACTCTGAGATAATATATTTCTATTGTTCAAAAAAAGTTTAGCATTTTCTAGAAGAAATATTTGAAGCAACAAATTGAAAAGTCTATCTGCAAGTGGAAAAATTTTTAAAAAAATCACTGAGGATTATTATACTGTAATGGGAGAACAGCAATAACAATTAGAAAGATCTTCAAAAGAAGTTGGTAAATTCTGTTATGGTATTTTACCACACATACACACATACAAAACTTGAAAAATGATCAGAAAGGAAAGATAAAAGAGAGCTTGTAAATTTACTCTTATGGTGTAGCATCCCCATGTTGACTGCATCTTGTTGATTGGATGCCAGTTGCATGGTGGTAGGAAGCTCTTTTCTAGATGAGGAAAGCAAACATGGTGCTAATAAACTAGAGGAGGGCCAGGTGTGTGTGTGTGTGTGTGTGTGTGTGTGTGTGTACACAAAGAGGCTCTTTTTTTTTCATATTTAGTTGTTTCTTCTTTCCTGAGTATATTGGGTAGAGTAGAGCTTAAAAAAAAAAAAATAAGAAGACCCACATGCTTCTCATTTAGGCATCAATATTATTGCTTAAATTTTTTTTTTGTAAATACTTTAAGGAGACAGATACATTATTATTTATGAACTGAATACACTTGAGCATCAGTGTAAAACTTTAATACTGAGGCATTACCAGGTTTGCTTTTGGTGTGCAAAATTAATTAGGATGAAGTAATTATAGAAAAAGTCAAATGTTTGCTTTCTTCAATAACATATTGGGACCAAAAAGATGAATGGTAATGACAAGCTCATAAGGCTTTTCTTTAAGATGACCACAAAGATTGCTGCTTCTATTTTTATTTTTTTATCCTTACTACATTTGGGTTTTATTGTTTATTTTGCTATTTCTAGTTCAGTGGAAAGTTTACCTCACGTCCAATAATTGGTTAAATATTTAATACTTTAGCTGGTCACGGTGGCGCACACCTGTAATCCCAGAGGCTTGGGAGGCTAAGGCAGGAGGAAAGTAAGTTCAAAGCCAGCCTCAGCAAAAGCAAAGCACTAAGCAACTCAGTGAGACTGTGTCTCTAAATAAAATACAAAATAGGACTGGGGATGTGGCTCACTGGTTGAGTGCCCCTGAGTTCAATCTCTGGTACCACCCCTGCCACAGCAAAAAAAAAAAAAAAAAAAAAAAGTTAATATTTTAGATATCAAAGTAAAGTTTACTGAGGAGGAATAGATTTCTTCTCTAATGATCTTTTTTTGAGGGGAATGGGAGATACATTTCAAAGTAAGTTTTAGTGAACTCTCTGCTCAGAGAGGAATGTGTGGGTATTTTCTTCTTAATGCAAAATCTTATCTCCTGATTATAACTTTAACAAATAAAGGTAGTGCATAATAAAAAAGTAAAACAAAACAAAACAAAAAAACAAGGCCAAGTCTGAGATCTGCAGTCACCAGTCAACCAGCCATATGGAGGCCAACAGGACTAAAGGTGCTGTCTGTAATTTGTGATGGGAACACTAATAATATATTTATAAATAATAGTAATGGAAGAATGAAGTTACTAAAAATAAGAGCTTAGTTTAGTGTGGCTTCCCCCCCCTCCCCCACTACGGGGAACCTAACCAAGTAGAATTCTACCACTGAGCCACATCACCAACCATTTTTATTTACTTATTACATTTTGAGACCCAGTCTCACTAGGTTGCTGAATTTGGCCTTTAACTTGCTATCCTCCTTCCTCAGTCTTGCAAGTTGCTAGGATTATGGGCAAGCACCACTGCACCTGGCATGTTTTTTTTTTTTTTTCTTTCTTTCCACTTCCAACCTTGAAAATATGCAAAGCAAAAGGGAGGTGGGGAGGGGTGAGAGGCGATAGAGGATTGAAATGGAATGTTAGCATTGGAATAGTGGGAAGAACAGAGGGGTTAGAATTAGAATACATCATAGTTTATTGCTGGACACAGAGACGTTAGAGAAGGACACTTATTCTCTTTGTACATCATTTTCTTATCTGTGTTATATTAAAACAATATAACTGCATGAGAAGTGCCTTTGTAAACTGTCATGCAGTGTAAAAATGCCAGTTATCATTATTCACACTCCCAGAGAGAACTAGGTGACAAACTTCTGCCCTAAGAAAGGTGGGTTAGAAGCTTTGTCTTATCACAAACCCCCCCATCACTCAGCCATAGATGAACAACTGGGCCACTTTGGGATAAAGATTCACCAAAGCTTCCAAAGTGGAGAAATTTGTCACCAATGAAATGAACGATATACAGCAAGCCATGTTTCTTGGGGTCTTAGGTAAATGACTGAACAGATATTGACAGCATGACTACTTCCCAGAAAAAAAAACTGTCTACGAGATATTTTTGGACAATAGCTGAGAATGTTGGAAAAATTGCTTGAGTCCCTTCCTCTGTGTGCAGAACTCACACAGAGAGTGATGTAGGCCAGAAATTGAAAAATATTGCCAAATGTCCACACAGCGGAGGAAACACTCTCTTCTCCCCTCCTCTTTGAGCCCGTTTCCCACCCTCCTGCCACACATTGATTTATCAGAAGGCTCAGGATGCATACACTTGTTAGGATGCTCAACTTTCCTGATTTTGCCAACTTTATACCAAAGTGCTGATTTAAAATGCCATCTAATCTAGATATCTATAGTTAATGATACCAGGGAAGTTTTTAGACTCCTGAAATAATCTTTTTTTCTCCATACCATCTCTTTTCCCCTCTAAATTATAAACACCAAGAAGCTACAGACTATATGTATCATGTTAATCAAGATATCTCCCTTGCCTAAAACAGTGCCTGACATATCATAGATTTTAAAGAACCAAAGTTGTTCATAAGCAGATCAATGAAGAAGGTGGCAAAGGACTTAATTACTGGATTTGAAATCTGGCTCCACCCATTCCTTAAGAGATACTAAGCAAGGATTGCTTTTAAAATATAGCCTCCCTAATTCTCAGTATTATCTGAAATATGGGTAAAATAATTACATTTTTTAGGATCGCTAGTAGAATCAGATGAATTTCTTTTTTTTGTTTTGCAAAGCACTTTGGCACAGGACTGAACTTGATCCCCTTTCCCCCCATGTCAAACACTTCAAAATGATATATAAGGACTGTCAATATTCATTCTCACATTTTATTTCAAACATCATCTGTTGTTGACACGTGAAGCCATCTGTACCCAGTCTACTGTCCACATTAAGGTGATTTTACTTTCAACCTCGGTGTTAACTTGACTTTATTATCACAGAAATTCTTCCCAGAAAGATGAAGCTGCAAGTAACTATCATTTATTTCAGAACCTCCTGAGTTTGTCTTTAAAATCTATTTGTTCTCATTAAGTAAATAACCTCCTCTCAGAACAATAGATCTTGCAGCTGAGTTCATAAAATGATGGTTTACTCCTCAAAGACTCTTCCAAATCCTGCCCTTACTGTGTCCATTAGTCTTATTATATTATAAACTTGGTTCAGTACCAAGCAGATCACACCAATGAAAGTCATGGCATGCCTTAAAGTAGGTCCGACAGTCTTAAAAACAGTGTTTTTCAAATCCTCTTCTCTCCTGCAAGATGCAACTAGGATGATGTTGAGGTAGTAAGTGGCCTCCCTGGATGCAGTAAGTCTCTGCTTGATTTAATGGGATATTGTTCTGGTTTATTAAGAAAGTTTGCAGTTGACAGTCTCTGCTGACAAAATTATTATCCAGGTGAGTATAATGAATTACTTGTTATTTCCTGAAGATGTCATTTTTTTAAAAAATTTCAACTTTTAATCAGGTTTCTTTGATCGTCTTTTCTGCACTCCACCAGATCATTTCCTTTGCACCACCTCTTCATTGTTTTTTTTTCATTTCCACAGCACTGAATTATGAATCTGAAGTCCTGAATGACCTCATATGCTAAAAGTATCTTTTTTTTTTTTTTTTTTTTTTTTTTTTTTTTTTTTTTTTTAGCTTTTAACTCTTTCTCCAATTTCATTTTCAGGTCATCCATCCTAATTCACGGCATCACATTTTCACAAAGGTAGAACTGGACTATTGGAGACTGTGGACATGAGTCAGTAAAGCCCTACTTTGTCTTGTTTGTTTCATGCTTCAGAGTGAACAAAGTAGAGTTTTTGTTTGCAGGTAGGCAAAAACCCTCTAACTTCCTTTCATGATTAGTTCAGATCACTAATGAAGTATTACTGTTGACTTACACAACATTATAGGGGCTCGCTTTCCTGAGTAAGTTCAAAGCAGCCATTGAGGGGATACCTGAAGGGCCCTTCTTAGTTGCTCCTGGTTGATCAAAGAGGTTTCTTTGACTTATTGCAACAAGAGAATGAGAAGTACATAGTAAGCATAAAACTGGTCATTCCTTGGAGACATATGTGCCTGCTGTGGATCTAGAGGTATATCCTGTGGGAGTACATTTGTTGCTGGGCAGGCTTCAGAGAAGTCAGAAGCCGTTACATATACACAAGGGAAGGGGTTGTTTTCCACTCTGATGGCAAGCCTTCATGTGCTCTCTTATTCCCTGGCACTACTGGGTCCCCTTCCTAAGCACACCCTGCCCTTGGCTTAGCTGATTTGTTAGAGGTACCCAGTTGTTCCTTGGCCTGGGGCATCTGAGTCCTCGGCTTATCCATTCGGGACTGAAGGTCTGCCAGTATCTCAGTTAGATGATCTCTGTCCATTTCTTCCTGGATATCCACTAGATGAACAGCTTTATGCTCCTCATCAGCCAGCACTTGCTGAACTTTCTTAAATTCTTTTTGTATGAACTCCTTTATCTCTTTCTGAGTTACTTTAGGATCTGAACTCTTGAGCTTTAACTTTTCCACCAACTCTATAATGGCTGCCTTCACTCTAGTGGAGTCTTTGCTTATTAGTTCTTCAAAGGCTTCATCTAAGGTGTAAAGCTGGTGACCCTGCTGAGTCCCAAGGACACAGATGATGGGCCTGTCTTTCTGGGAGTAGGGGCTCAAATCAAGCCCTGGGTCTGCATACTTCCTCTTGGATGTTCTCTTTTCTTCCAGTGCTCTTTTTGGGTCGAATTTGCTTTCTGCCTTAGTTTCTCTTTCCGACATGCACCTTCCTTGGATGTCTTCTTCCATCATCTCGCTTTCTGGCTCACTGTCCTCCTCTTCACTCTCCTCACCGGTCTCGCTCCCTCCTTCCGAGTCACTGTCCTCCAAGGCGCTTTCTAGCTCCTGCCGCGGCGGCTCCACCTTGACCGTGATCTCTTCCTTCCCGGGCCTCTCCCCGCCGGCTCGCGAGGTCCTGGCCTGGAGGCCCTGCATGTTCTTGACCAGGTGGTGACTGGGGAACCTCCACTTGTGCTCGTCGGCGTGGCGGGTGCAGTAGTAGAAGCCGCATTCTCGGCACACTTCGTCGGCCCGCGGAGCCTGGTCGGGTTCGCACTGGTCACACGTGCCATCGTGCACCTCGTAGGCCGCGCACACTCTGGTGACCATGTGGGTGTTGTGATGTGGTCGAGGTCTCCGAGGCTCGCCGCTGCCCCTTGGCGAGGCCTCTTCGCTTCCCCTCCCCCGGCGCTGGGATCCGCACCGCAGGAGTGGCCGCCTGGCTGGGGAGCGCGGCTCTGGGAAGCTGGACCTGGGGCTGAAGCAGCCCCCGCCGGGCAGCGAGCACTGCGCCTCCTGGTTGCTGGGTGTACTGGCGCCGAGCTCCGCTGGACTCCTGTTGATGTCATACTTTTTTAACATTCTGAATTCTAAGCTTTTTCACAATAAATTTCTCTCCCTCCTTCCCTCCTCTCTCCCTCCCTATCTTAGTATTATCTACTTTAACCTTTAACACTCAAACTAAATATTGCTTCTTTCACGAAATGTTTAACAAAACACGTTAACAGCCTGGATCACACACGTTTCTGTGTTTTGATGTTTAGAAGAAACTTGCTATAGAATCCTATTATTTTCTCATTGCCTGGCAATGCATTTTTCTTTTCCTAAGACAGTACACTCCTTGAAGGTAGGGACTGTGGCTTATCCATTTCATCATTAAGGTCTTAAATAGTGAAAAAAAAAATTTTTTTAAGAACCTATACTAGTTGATGGATAATTATTTGCTAAATGATGAGTGAAAAACATTTAACTTAGCTATTTAAATGAAGACAACCGATTTAAAAAATATGAAATTAAGAAACGTCAGTAGGAAGCTGGGCCGGGGGCGCACACCTGTAATCCCAGTGGTTTGGGAGTCTGAGGCAGGAGGAAAGCGAGTTCAAAGCCAGTCTCAGCAAAAGCAAGGCACTAAGCAACTCAGTGAGACCCTGTCTCTAAATAAAATACAAAATAGGGCTGGGGATGTGGCTCAGTGGTTGAGTGCCCCTGAGTTCAATCCATGCCCCCCCCCAAAAAAAAGAAAAGAAAAAGAAAAAGAAACTTCTGTAGGAAAGCATTTCAGTACATTGAAATGGTCGAAGATATTTTTGGACAAGACTAAAAACAGGAAACAAAGGCAAAAATTGACAAATGAGATTACATTTAAAAGCTTCTGCACAGCAATGAAAGCAATCAACAGGGTAAAGAGTCAACCTATAGAATGGGAGAAAATATTTGGAAAGTATGTATCTGATAAGGGATTGAGATACATAATGTATTTGGAACTCCAAAAACTCAATAGCATGTACACACACACACACACACACACACACACCCCTGATTTGATCACAGGAAGATATACAAATGGCTAAGAGATCTCTAAAAAAATTTCTCAAAGACAAAGATTATTAGATTAATGCAAATAAGGGAACCACAGTCAGATATCACCTCACCCCAGTAGGAATGGCTATTATCAAAAAGATTAAAGATAACAAGTGCTGGTAAGGATGTGGAAAAAAGGGAACACTTGCACAATGTTGGTGGGAATGTAAATTAGCATAGCCATTATGTAAAACAATATGGAGGTTCCTCAAAAAATTAAAAATAGACACCACATGATCCAATAATTGCACTCTTGGGAATATATTCAAAGGAAATTATATCAGTATGCTGAAGAGACATTCACACTCCCATGTTCACTTAGCACTAATTATAATAGCTAAGAAATGGAAATAACAGAAATGTTCATTATGGATGAATGGACAAAGGAGATGTTGTGCAGATACACAATGGAATACTATTCTACCATAAAAAGAATAAAAACCTGTCATTTGTGAAAACATGGATGGAATGGAAATAAAATGTTAAATGAAATAAGTGAGGCACAGAAAGACAAGTAGCACATGCTCTCATTCATATGTAGAATCTAAAAATGTTGATCTCATAAAGGTTGAAAGCAGAGTGGCAGTGACGAGAGGCAGGGGAGAAAAGGTGGCAGGAAGACATGGGCAAAAGTTGTCAACAGGTGCAAAGCTAGAGTGAGTGAGTGGCACGAAGTTCAGGTAGGCTATTGCATAATAGGTGACTATAGATAACAACAATATACTGTGAATTTTTAAAGAACGAGGAGAAAGGACTTTAAAAGTTTTCATCATAAAGAAGTGATAAATTTTTGAGAAGATAGATTTAATCTGATTTAAGCATTACACAATGTGTACATGTATAGAAACATTAGATCACCATATAATACAAGACTAATATGCACAGTGTTATGTTTTCATGTATTAACTAAAATGAATTTAATTTAAATGCCCTTTTTTGGAAGTACAGAGAATTGAACTCAGGGCTTTGCACATGCTAGGCAAGTGCCGCACCACTGAGCCACATTCCCAACTTTAAATGCATCTAAAAAAATTTTTTATTGGGGCTGGAGATGTGGCTCAAGCGGTAGCGCGCTGGCCTGGCACGCGTGCCGCCAGGGTTCGATCCTCAGCACCACATACAAACAAAGATGTTGTGTTCCCTGAAAACTGAAAAATAAATATTAAAAAATTCTCTCTCTCTCTTTAAAAAAATTTATTGCATGTTTTAAAAAATAAAAGATTAAATAAATATTTGTCAAGAAAACTTGGGCTTGTTCTCATAGTAGCTTCCTTTGTATTTTCTAATGTAGTTCTTTTAGTTTTAGGGAATGCTGAGAAATATTAACCTCTGAAGTACTAGCTCTCCAAGCCAGGTAAAGAGGCCCTGTTTGTGTGTCCATTCTCTTTTAAAAAGGTAATTTCTTATTTCCTTTCCATTTAACAATTACTGATGATGATTATGAATGTACAGCTGGCCCAGCCATACTACCAGTGTAGCCAATAGCTTTTTTTACCCCTTCAGGGAAATGGCATCAGTCTGTATATAAAGGTTGTCACTTTCATGATCTGAAATAAAGGTGGGCATTTTACATAGCCTAATCAGGGCTAAGAGAAGGACTAAGTTTTACAGTGGTGTGAAATTTATAACACTGTGTTGGCTGATAAAAATGATGCCTTACATAGTCATGTTTCTATTTAAGTATTATTTACCCCCTATGCACAGTATGTACTTTTTAAAAATAGCCACAATCAATCCAATACTTGAGCTATTACAGGCAAATTTATATTATAGCAGTATAATTTCATTTTGCTTCATCTAAACTGAAATCTAAAAGTTCTATAAAAGTTTGAGAGCTCATAGCCAACAGCTTTCCACAGGGGCTAAGTTAAGTTTTGCAGCAGTAAAGCATTTCTTAGATGTCAGTACACTGGCCATCAGAGAAAACATAGAGAAGAAAATTTAAGTACAATCTGGAGAGTACTAATGACAGTGAGCCTGCATCAATGTTCTACAAGGGAAAGTAATCCATTATTGAAGAGTGCAAAATGTATGTATTGTTAGTTTTGGATCATTTTGGATCACTTGCAGGTATACTTATTTAATAAACATGTTTAATATTCAGCAGTGAGTCTCAACTATTTTCATCACTTTTTCTTAGCTGATACCTAAAAATGAAAGAATATTTTTTTTTATATTTATAATACAAGCCAGTTAGCTATCTGAGTACTCTGTGTAACATTTGGCACATATCATCATCATCATAATAAGCATTATATCATAATGTGTCAAGTCCCAATGGTCCTTATTTATGTGCAGCTTAAATTCATCAAATTTTTCAGGACTACGGGTAGTAATTACACTAGTTCACAATAAGGGTATTTTACTTTTTGCCTTTAACATGCATGACCTTGTGATCCTTAAACATCTCTGTGAGTTAGTTATGTACCCATTTTATAGAGAAGATGGAGGCTCAACCAGAAGTAACTTTCCATAGGTCGCATAGTAAGTGAATGATAGAACAGGAGCCAGAAGCCAGAACGTCTGTCTCCCAGAAATAGGCCCCTGTTCTATAATACACAGCTCCCTCTTAATATATTTAAAAATAATTACAGAAGAGATGTTACAGATCCTTCAGACGGAATCTGATCAATGTTCATTTTGAGGAAAATGAACAAATACAGCATTAATTTAAATTGCATTCTCCGTTTGAGGACAGTAATCATGAAAAGAAATTAAAACATTGAGTCTAAGATTGATTTTGCTGTCTTTGCTGCAACCACTGAAGCACCATGAAGTTTGTAGAAAGACTTTTTCCAGAGACCATTTTATCTTCCCTGTGTTAGAGCAATAAATAAATCTGAGTACTCAGTGCATTATTTATTATATTGGATTTGAACTCAGACCTTTTTCTGCAGATGTTTCTATACTTTGCAAATGGAGGACCAGGGCAAATACATGTCCATGAGTGCCATATCACCAGCTGATAACATGCATTTCTTGTTTTCAAGCAGTAGCATGTGCCAGACCCTATGCCAGACACATGTTTTACATATAATTTTAAAATTAATGTTCATATCAATTTCACACTCATTTATGGGTATGAAAACAGGCACAGTGGAGTTAAGGAATGTGTACAAATTCACACAGGTGTTGAGTGACTGAGTCAGGATTAGAAACCAGGTCTTTTGGATTTCCAAGCTCCTTCTGCTCTATGACACTGCTTTCTTTCATCACATCTTGGAAATTTACAAGTACAAAGGATGTGATGGCAGACTCCTGATGGAGGGGAGAGAGAGAGAGAGAGAGAGAGAGAGAGAGAGAGAGAGAGAACAGAGCTTGGTAGGAAAAGGGAGTTATGGTATGTGGGAAATACATGTAGACAGCAATCAAGAAGATACGGCTTCAGGACCTATAGAGATGTCACATGACTATTCTACCATTTAACTTCTTTGTCAGTGGAATGTGGGGGTTGGGTTTGATCGATACTTTTCTAAACAGGTTCTATAAGTTCCAGAGGTTCAATGAGTGACCTGGTTTCTAGGAAGACACAACAAAAAGTGGAACTCATCTCTTTATAAAAGTCATGCATAAGTTAAAAAGCATTTTTACACTAAACTAAAACAGTTTTGCTGAGCATTGGTGTGTGCTATGAATTTACTGAGTGCACAGTGAGTTGTGTATGTAGTTATGGGAGAGAAAACACAGTCCTCATCTTTCACTCATGAATAACAGGGATGAGATCACTGTCTTAATGGGGGCAAAAAAGACTTCAAAGATTATACAATAATAAATACATAACTGCAAATTGTGGTAAGTGCTAGTATTAAAAGTTCAAGGTGGTCTGAGAAACTATAACTGATGATATAATTCAGATTATTGTGGAGATGGAAGTTTTCTCTGAGGGAGTGACATTTAAATCAAGAACTGAGAAAGGACCAGGAAATTAGCCAAGAAGAGTGAGAGACTATCCCAGGCAGGCAG